GCTGATGCGTTGTTCTTCACAGCTGATGCGTTGTTCTTCACAGCTGAAGTGTTGTTCTTCACAGTTGATGTTTTGTTCTTCACAGCTGATGCATGTTGAACATGAACTGTTCATGCAACACAAGCGTCCTGACTGTTAGGAATCTTCAAAGATTTATGCAGCCAGAGAATGTTCACACTGTTCCCCTTCATCACTAAGAACCTCAATTAAATCATCGTCACCTCTAGAACAGCAGGAGGTGCTGCTGCTCTGGACCCTACAGGTATGCGGTAACACAAAAGCAAGGCAGAAAGACATCAGCAATGACCTCAGAGAAGCAGCTGCTGCTGCTGTCAATCTGAGAAAGGTCAAAGGTCATTTAGTGTCAATTGTTCTACAGAAAGATTATTCACACTTGGAAACATTTAAACAGCTGATAAACCCTGAAGGTCAGACTGTGCAGTGACTCTACAGGCCTCAGTCAACAGGTCAAAGGTCATGACCTCTTCTCCCTAAAAACAACAGGGCAGCATGAATTTCATCTGAAAGAACCACAAGACCTCTGGACCAGAACCAAAGAAGATGTTTACCCAGAATGCACTGCAGCAAACAGCTCTTCTCAGCTGTCAGCACAGTGATGGAAGGCTGATAGTTTGGGCTCCTATCAGTCACTGAGTGGACCAGGAACTTCTCTGTAGACCAAAGAGTTCTGGAGTCAGATGTGGGTACATCTGTCCAACAACTGGTACTTGGACCAAACTGGGTCCAACAGGACCATGATCCCATACACAGCAGCTGATCTACAAACGGAACAGGTCGAAAAGAACAAAACCAAGGTGCTGCAACGGTCCAGTCAGCGTCCAGAACCTGAACCTGACTGAAACGCTTTGGTGGACCTTCAGAGAACTGAACAGAACCCTCAATGATGGAAAGAAGAGTGGTCCAGAACTCTTCTAGAACCAGGAGAGATACTGGTGAAGTCCTACAGAGAACCAGTGAGGGTTCTGGTTCTTAAGAAGGTTCTGTTCACTTGAGGTTTTAGTGAAAATAAATAACATTTCAGCTTTTTTCAATCTTTTACATTTTGAAACTTTATTTGTTGTTATGACAAAAAGAGTTGGACTGTTGACACTGACCTGGACATCTCCACTGTAACTCTTCCTCGTCCTCCCCTCCCTCCTCTTCCTGGTCCCCGTCACTGTGCTCCGCAGATTGTTCCTCCTCCTCACCCACTTCATCATCTGCGCCTCCTCCTCCTCCAGAGTCCTGCGTCCTGGACTCTGAAAACGCAAAGAGACAAAGTTCAAACAGATGATCCTGTGTCTGCAAGGAGACGAACCTCTGGAGCTCTGAGCCTCGGCACGCTCACGTGCACACTCTGAGCCTCAGCACGCTCACATGCACACTCTGAGCCTCAGCACGC